TTGCTCCAAATTCAATTTTGAGCAAGTTTGCAGTCGACAACTTTTTTCTAGCTCCGCCCATTTTTGAGATATGGGACAGTTATATTTCGAAAGAGCACCAAAAAAACAGCCTGAGCCCCTATTTCCAGTTCCTGAACCGTGAGCAAGTCCTGAGTGAATATGCAGAATCGACAAAACGAACTCGAGCCAAGAAGTCGTGGATTCGAGTGGTGAAGAATGTGGCGAGGTTGAGAGCAGCGACAAGTATACTGGCCGCTGCGAAGAAGAATAATACATTGTAATTTTATATATCTATCGGATAGTTGTTTTTTTTTGTATGTGGAAGTATTATGTATTTTTATGCAACAATAAATATTGGAATTTATGGTGTCGTGGTGAGACCCAAAATATGAAGATTTTTCCGAACCTAGTCATGATTATACTCATTTGAACCGCCTTTTTATGCTGATTCGAGTGGTATATTTTTCAATGAGATCCGATGAAAACTGAACAAGATACGATAGGTTTTGTGTTTTCGTGGTGAGACCCAAAAAATAAAAAAATTTCAAAACCTAGCCATGATTATACTCATTCGAACCGTCTCGTTGCACTGATTCTGAATATGATATTTTTTTGAGATTCGGAGAAAAAATTGATGGAGACACGGTACATAAGTAAGTGAGTACTACGCAAGTAGGTGAGTAAGTACTCAAGTGCTATAAAGTGATCGAGTGCTACATGCCGATTTTCCCTAATTTCGCTGTTGTGCTATTGTCTCATGTGCTTTATCTCTCGTGCAATGACTCTTGTGCTATGGATCAATTGCTATTTTTACCGTTTTTGTATCAGTTGATTCAAAATCATAGCACCAGAGCCAAGAAAAAACGACCGAAATAGCACTTGATCCATAGCACAAGAGCCATAGCACAAGAGTTAGTTTAGCTAGCCAACAAATTAAAGTAATGATGCAAACACTTTTCTCACGTGGCGCTTCTTATTTGTCTTACCCTCTATTTCTCTCACCTTCCCTTATCTTTTCCTCCTACCTCCCGATTAGAAACACTACATTCACTACATTCACTATACAATTCTCTTTAATTTCCATCTATTCCGGCCAGAATGGACCCCAACAAAAGATGCTCAATTTGTTTGGAAGAGAGCAGTGGGTGTCATTTTGGAGCGGAGGCTTGCAGGTTTGTTAGGTTTGCTGGAAATATATTTTTAGGGGAAATACTCAAGTGCTATGAAGGGATCAAGTGCTATATGCCAGTTTTTTTCAATTCTGGCTCTTGTGCTATGGATCAATTGCTATTTTGGCCGCTTTTCTTGGCTCTGGTGCTAGGATTGCTACTTTTATAGCAGATAAGACATGATTAATAAAATCATAGCACAAGAGATATAGCACAAGAGCCAAATTTGGAAAATTGGCATATAGCACTTGATCACTTCATAGCACTTGAGTATCTATCTATTTTCAGAGCATGTGCAGCATTTTTCCGACGTAGTGTCACTCAGAACAAGCGGTATCATTGTAGAGGGAACAACGATTGTGATGTTTCGACTAGTGAGTTTTTTTTTATTGGAGCAGTTTATCTCGGTTGCCTTTAGAGCTAGAAAAATGTTTTCAACTGATAAAATACTCAAAATGTAAAAATAAATATTTCTCTAGTTGACCAGTTTTCGCTAGCTCTTAAGACAATCAAGATATGGTGCTCTAAACGTTTAGTACTTGGGGGGCCCTTTATGATGGAGATCAACCTAGAACTTTATTTTCAGAGCAGTATATCTCAGTTGCTTTCGGAGCTAGAAAAATGTTTTCAACTGGTAAAATGTTTGAAATGTAAAACTCAATATTTCTTTAGTTAATCACTTTTTGCTAGCTCTAAAGACAACCGAGATATGATGCTCTGAACATTGGGAAGCTTTTTCAGCTTGAACGGTATGTAAATCCCGTTGACCTGTACTAGGCGACCCTCTATCGGAGGTTTCCAAAAGTTTCAAAAAAAGAAAAAAGATTTGGCCTTGATGGGGGTTGAACCCGCGTTGAAAAATTCTAAGACAACAGTGCTAGCCACTACACCACACCTTTGCTGCGTTGAGAAAGGCTGCGGCCGCTCCCTGGTTG